TGTTTAGTGATTACTATCCGCCTATATTTTTTATTTACCTCTTGCCTTATTTCCTCCTTTATATAGTGTTTTTTTTTTTTTATTTTTTTTTATTTTTTTTTTTTATTATTTTCTACCACAGACGTGGCCACACATTTACAATGCTAACCAGCATATATACATTTTCTTCTGTCCTCCATGGACAGGGTTAGAGAAGTGTTAAACATACAGTTCAAGGGTTTATTGAACACTCAACCACAGAAGGTGATTCGGTGCTTTTAAAATGCTAAGCTAACCTACATACGTAAATACAAAGATACACAGATTTACGTACGCCCTACATAAAGTATTAGATGTGTCTTTTACATAGTGTCATTAATGTACATTCACAAAGGTGAAATGTAATTCTGATCAGCTTCCATATATGCTTTATACCCATACATATACATACACACACACACATACACATACATATATACACACGCACATGCATTCACATACATTTGTCTCATTTACCCTGACAGGGTGAGGTAGCTGATAAAGAAACTAGTGTGCAATTAAGCACTTAATCACTGAAGGTGATGAAGGTGCTTTTACAAGCTCAGGTTATATAGTTACATCACATACATACATTGTATGATTGATACATTACATGGTCAATTTTGGATACAAGTCCAATATATCATCAAGTGTTCCAGTATTCATATAGTAACTACAGAGTTCAGCATACCTTAGCCCAGGAGGGCGAAAGTCAGTCAGTATGGGACATTCTACAATATAATGTTCAAGAGAGTATGTTTTCTCTTTCACAAAGTTGACACATTGTGCACTCGACATTTGGGTTTTGAGAAAGCTGCCAGATACGTCTATATCCCAGGCGTATTCTGGCCACTATAACATCACATTGCCGGGTTCTTGTTCTATTAGTCCCATATGTGAATGTCTCCTCACGATATCTATCATAATATTTAATGCTACAACTTTCAGGTCTTTGAGAATTTGTTAGGTCTGTGAGATCTTCATTAGATATTTGTTTAAGTATTCTCTTTGTCACTGCTAATATAGTGGTGCTATCTCCGCTGTTTGAAGTATGTCAGCGATAATTCTGGCATTTAGGCTCCATCTCTAAATAACGCTAAGGACCTGCGATAGTTTTTTTTCAGCATTCTTGATCAATATGAAATTCCGGGAGTCTAGGGGTAGTGGAGAGTGCCTGGGCATGCTGTCTACACTGATATATGAGTCATTATAGACAGTGCTGAAACCTTCACGGAGACTTTGGTTGGATTCTCGTTCATCTGTGTGTTTTGGGGCTCGCTGAAAACTGTATCGTATATATTTCACTCATTTATTTAATCTGTGAAATTTCGGGCTCTGGCGCAGGGGGTTCAATGTTAGATGTAGTTTTAATTCTAGATGTTACATAGAAAAAGTATTTTGGGTAGTAGAGTCTCTCACAGTCTCTCCCCTACTTGGATAGTAGGCTTTTAGTAGGTGGTGACCTTGGGTAGTAGGTAGAGCTTTGCATAGTAGGGGGCGACCTAGGGTAATAAGGGGTGACATTGGGTAATAGGGGGTGACATTGGGCCGCGGCAAGCAAGAACAGGTCAGAACTGGTAGCACGGGCATCACACGTTAAGCCGGGTGTGGAGAGAAGCAGCACCCCGTCTCGCCAGTGTTCCCACCATCAAGAAAGCGTCGTACTAAAGTCCTCTTATTCTAACCTACCAGAGGCCCCCACGAACAGAAAACGGGGACAGTGATTCAGTTTAGCGGGCCGCTAGTAAGACAATTTTTGGCCGTCAGTACGTCAAAATGCGACGTGCTGTTAGGAGGACGGGCTGGCAGAAGAGCTCCCAGTACCAGCACACTCCAGGTAGGGAAGCCAATTGCAGAGAGTCCTATGTAATCACGGAGTGAAGCCTCATCAGCCCGCGTGTGAGGACGAAGCCGAACACATCCCAACGTCAAGATATTGCCCATTTGGATATTTGCCGTTACGTCGCATTTGTAGTGGGTTACTGGATTCCGTAATGAATCTCTGGAGGTATTGGGAATGAGAGAGTGGTTGTGTTATGTGATACGTGAGTTGTGTTTGTGTGTTGTGTTGTGTTGGTGAGCGCGCGCTTGTACTCTCCTGCAGTGATTGCTTCTAGGCTGCTCTGGGGCCAGATTGGTTTCTGCACAAAGAAATTCTCTCTTACTTTCGACGGACAACGCAATTAGAAAGTAGAAATCGATACTGTTGAATTTGGACGAACCGTAAAACGATTTTCTACTTATATTGCAAAGAAAAAAACAAACTAACCTAACCTTCCTAATCCTCATATACATTATCTAAGGCCTAATATAATGCATGTGTGCACTATACTAGGCCTAGGAATATATTAGTTTGCTTTTAGCTTCATCTAAACTCTCTTAAAGTGAATAGTACACAATTCTGCTCTCTAATTGCTTAGTACGTCAATGTTTGTACTATGGTGTACATTGTTACAAAAGGTACTATCTGACCAGGAGGACGGGTTGTGTTGTTCACATCTTTCTCTACTTCCACACGCTTCTTTTCTACAGTGTTCTGTGACCTCAATATTCTTGTCTGCCTGCTAGTTTGGTCTATTCTCTCAACACTCTTGTGCTGACTCCTCAACATTCCAGTCTGGAGATGTTTGAGGAAGGCTTGGGTTAGTGAGAAGGCTGGTGTGTGAAGCATGCCACGTTATTCAATGGATCCCTTTGTGTGTGTGTGTGTGTGTGTGTGTGTGTGTTGGGGGGGGGGGAGTCTGCACCAATACTGGTCTCTCCCCTCTACACCCACCAGTACCGGTCTCTCCCCTCTACACCCACCAGTACCGGTCTCTCCCCTCTACACCCACCAGTACCGGTCTCTCCCCTCTACACCCACCAGTACCGGTCTCTCCCCTCTACACCCACCAGTACCGGTCTCTCCCCTCTACACCCACCAGTACCGGTCTCTCCCCTCTACACCCACCAGTACCGGTCTCTCCCCTCTACACCCACCAGTACTGGTCTCTCCCCTCTACACCCACCAGTACCAGTCTCTCCCCTCTACACCCACCAGTACCGGTCTCTCCCCTCTACACCCACCAGTACCGGTCTCTCCCCTCTACACCCACCAGTACCGGTCTCTCCCCTCTACACCCACCAGTACTGGTCTCTCCCCTCTACACCCACCAGTACTGGTCTCTCCCCTCTACACCCACCAGTACCGGTCTCTCCCCTCTACACCCACCAGTACCGGTCTCTCCCCTCTACACCCACCAGTACCGGTCTCTCCCCTCTACACCCACCAGTACTGGTCTCTCCCCTCTACACCCACCAGTACTGGTCTCTCCCCTCTACACCCACCAGTACCGGTCTCTCCCCTCTACACCCACCAGTACCGGTCTCTCCCCTCTACACCCACCAGTACCGGTCTCTCCCCTCTACACCCACTAGTACTGGTCTCTCCCCTCTACACCCACCAGTACTGGTCTCTCCCCTCTACACCCACCAGTACTGGTCTCTCCCCTCTTCACCCACCAGTACTGGTCTCTCCCCTCTACACCCACCAGTACTGGTCTCTCCCCTCTACACCCACCAGTACTGGTCTCTCCCCTCTTCACCCACCAGTACTGGTCTCTCCCCTCTACACCCACCAGTACTGGTCTCTCCCCTCTACACCCACCAGTACTGGTCTCTCCCCTCTTCACCCACCAGTACTGGTCTCTCCCCTCTACACCCACCAGTACTGGTCTCTCCCTTCAGCACCCACCCACACTACACCTACAAAATTCTGAGGGGAACTGACAAGGTGGACAAAGATAAACTCTTTAGCATGAGTGGAACATGAACAAGGGGACGCAGGTGGAAGCTGAGTACCCAAATGAGCCACAGAGACATTAGAAAGAACTTTTTCAGTGTTATTAGTTAACAAATGGAATGCATTAGGCAGTGATGTGGTGGAGGCTGACTCCACACACAGTTTCAAATGTAGATGTGATAGAGCCCAGTAGGCTCAGGAATCTGTACACCAGTTGATTGATAGTTGAGAGGCGGGACCAAAGAGCCAAAGCTCAACCCCCGCAAGCAATGTGCAACTTGTAATTTCCAGAAAGTCATCATCTTGATCATTAGCCGGTGAATTGCATCATAATATTAAATATCAACCCATCCTATTGCTGAATATATGCCATTTTTAATAAAATTGTTTTTTTTGTTTTGTTTTGTTAAACGTTGCATACTTTAAAAATGTAACGTATTAGTAAAAATTAAAGCACTGTAATGTTGATGTTTTCAATTCATCGACCTCAGTAGGAAACGTGGGTTGCTTGGGTTCGTATGTTTCAGGTTAGGCAAAAACCGTAGTAATTTTTTGCAGCAGGATCTAAAACTTGTACCATCGTGAACATTTTGACGTCATAGTGACATTACACACCTCGAGCAAACATCCAACAAACCTCGAGTGATACATCAAACAACCTTTTTGTGTGTTCTTGTCATTGGGTTAGGTTAGGTGTGCTTACAAGGTAGAGTAACATACCTTTCCCTCTGGTATTTTTTTCAGAGTGGTAAATAGAGGGAACGGACAGGGTGTAAATATAGTAATGATGTGGGTATTGTGTTTCACTACATTAATGCTCGATTATGATTCGTTTATTATTTTTAATATTTCTCATATCTGCCTTCTTTGTTGTGTTCCTCATCAATTTTCAATTAGTTACTTTGTTGTTTGAGCTGTCCTATCACAGGTCAGTCTGTGCTACTGTCATGGCCACTTTACTCTTAAATTACAGTATTTCCCTCTAAGCTATTTGCTCTTGTTACCTCCAGTCTTAGGTGCACAGCCGCCATTTTATCACGTCATCAATGAATTTTGTTTAGTATTGTTTTTGTTGCATCAAGATGTGTAATTGTTTTCTTTGCTCAATAATTACACATTTTATTCAGTAATCCTTAATCCTTGCTAAATTTGTTAGTCTGTTATGGATAAATTTCACTTACATGAATTTTGTTCTTTACAGGGAACCAGAATGGTAAAAAGCCCAAAAGAAGTATCCTCCGCACACTATTTTGCTGTTGTGTGTCTGGAGAAAATGATTCGGGTGGTTCAGCCAACGGAGTGTGTGTGTCTGAGGATGTCTCTCCCTATACTCATTTGCCACAGCCCCCGGGGCCACAGAGACACCTCCTGCCATCCGTCAGTCACCGAGATATGCACAAGAAATGCATGGTTATTGACCTTGACGAGACGCTTGTTCACTCATCGTTCAAGGCGAGTGCTAGTTGTTTCATAATTGAATATAGATTGTAATGTTAGCAATACCAGTACTGTATTTATATTTAAATTCAGAACTACAAATTGTGGTTATAAAAACTAAACTAGCCTTCCTTTTGTTTTTTATTTATTTTCGTGCACTGTTAAAATTGGGTTTGTTGTAATTAGCATTGTGCTTATAATAATAAGAATTTTTTCTTTCCAGCCAATTAGTAACGCCGACTTCATAGTTCCTGTCGAAATAGATGGAACCATCCACCAAGTTTATGTATTAAAACGACCCTTTGTGGATGATTTTTTACAAAAGATGGGTGAACTATACGAATGTGTACTCTTCACAGCCAGTCTAGCCAAGGTAAGACTACCATCAAATAACAACACTGTAATACAGCACAAGCAACATCATGATCATGTGCTTTTGCATTAACTTTTCTGGAGAACATTTATGTATCCATAAGAACATATGAATAAAAAGAAACTGCACAAGGCATATTGGCCCATATGAGGCAGCTCCTATTTATATCCACCCAAACAAAAGTCAAGACATATATGTATGTATGTTTGTATGTTTGACTTGTGCTTGAAACAATCTAGCAATCTCACATGTATTATGTTAAACAGTAATTTGTTCCACAAATCAGCAACCCTGCTTTCAAACCAATATTTACCCAGGTCTTAACTGAATCTAAACTTCTCTGATTTACATCCATTGTTTTGTGCTCTATTTTGTGTTGATGCATTTGCCACAGCTTTTTGGATGGAATGCCAGGCAAGGAGGGCTTGTTAAATCATTGACCTTGAGGTTGAGTGACTTGCTCGGAGAATGCCAGACTAAAGCGTGCCTCTAATCATGCCCAGTTACAAGAGCAAGTCTCACGTCTCATGGGTTGGAGGTCCTGAGAGCTACCATGTGAGCTTCACCATAAACAGCCTCTGATGTAAGACAACATAGAGCTGAGTGGTAGTACAGATGTGCATTGTTATACGGTAATTTTATCTTTGCCACTTTGTCTTCCTCAACTCTAAAAAAAAAGTATTCTTAGTTCTGGTAGAACAGAACACAGTGTGCTGACCCTGGTGGTATTCCTGATTAAGGATACTGCATCTCCAATTATTGTGAGCAACTGTACATACTGTACACAACTAGCAGGTTAATCTTCATATTTTGCTTCCCAGTGCTTGGCAAAGGTCATATTAAAGAACAATTTAATAATCCAAGGTATCTCCAAAACCCCATTTTAGTCATAGTAGAGCATTTATGAAGTACATACAATGATATTTTTTTCTCCTGTGTGTGTTTACCTATCTGTGACTGTGGGTGGAGTGAGATCTAGCTCTTTATGGCCTGCCTCCTAGCCATTTACTGTGTATCTGGCATGAAAATAATCTCTCTGGATATGCAGGGCCACTGGAGTGAGTTATTCAAGTTTCTTTAATACGTGAGAGTTGCTGTTATATATTACAGCAAGTATCACCATAGGCTCCTCCCTCTTTCCTCTCACTGCACTTACTAAGTCTGCCCAACCCATCCTCATCATTGGTCACTTCACCCAACCTCATAATTTAACACCTCACCACTCGTTGTCTCCAATGATTCATACTCGTATCACCACACACACACTTGTACTGACCTAATAATACGAACTTACTATACCCAACAGACATTTCTCCATTCTTCTTATTTTCACCACCTGGCCAAACAGACCTGCATGAGTGCCTCATCTACTGATAGGAAAGCTGGATAAATAAACTTTTAGGCAACTTTCCCTACCCTTGCAGCAGGGTTAGGTCTGTGTTAAGGGGCACACCTAGTGTCGAATTAGGATTTTTCTAAATAAAGCCGATCTCTTATAAATTGGCTAACATGCTACTAACCATTTAAAAGCCAGCTGATTGTTATTTGTTATCTCTGTTTTCACCGTGACTATAAAACAAAAATATTGTTCTATATAGCACCAGAGAGTGTGTGTGTGAACACCTCCTCTTTACTGAAATGTCATAGTAAAACTGAACTTCATGAATCTGTTTACTATTGAAGATTCAAGTCACTATTCACCCTCACCTATGAAGGCGTGACGTCCAAAGCAAAAGTTTTGTTTAGAGAGTAACCTGAAAGCTAAGTACAGTTCAGCATACTGATATCACACAAGTCTGTTCGTTATTGCTGAAGTAGTACCAGTTGACATTATCCCATTCACCACTGGGGCAATAATTCTTCTTTCAAATGAATAAAATATACTGAGCATCTAAAAATCAAACATGCAGACTGCAATCATCTCTCCAATTCCTACAGAAAAATTCCAAGCCGAGGAACTATTTTTGCTGGAAGACTCAGTGTTATGATAGCTAGCAACACACATGATGATATTATCGAGGCAGTTTATAATGCAAATCCCACACTAAAGGCAATTCGTATTTACAGAATAAACAAAGAAAAATGCCCCCATGCAAAAATTAACCTTGAATCAACTGAACACGCAAATAAGGCAGTAGAAAAAGGGTTCACGCATTTTGGTTTGAAGTCAGCCCCCCCAGCCAGATATCGAAGGAGGGGCATTAAATCATCACACAATGATTTGGATGCTTTAAATTTGATCATGTTGCAAACAAATATACTGAAGTGATCCAACCAGATCACCCAAGATCACCCAAGATCCAACCAGACCACCAAAGATGTATCATATGTGGAGACAAACACAGTGCAGTGTCTCCAGTGTGCCCCAGAAGGAAAGAAAAATCAAGAAAATAATGCAAGGCCAAACAAACCTCAACAAAGAACCCAACACAAGATGCATCCAACATGCAGTCACCAGCATTCCCAAATCAACTTGGTCAGTGTAACAACTTAAACCACACATGACAATACAATTCTTACCAACAACAACCTCATGCCTGGTTCACCACAACATGTTTGGTTGTTATGGTTTAGTTTGGTTGTCAAACTTGACAACCAAACTCTGAGTTGTCAAACTTGACAACTCCAACACACAACGATCTCCTCGTTGAAGCAGAGATTTGGTACTGGATCCCTTATGCAAGCAATGCCAGCCGAGGCCAGCACAACTTGTGAAATTTCTAAAAAAAAAAAAAAAAGGAAATGAATTGCCTAGAAACAAATTGTGGACTGCCTACACAAACACCACCAACCCAGGCTTGCACAAGCCAGGAACTGCACCAAACAGACATCGAGACAAATGTTCAAATATAAAGGTACCTCGTCCAACAGTTCCTCTAAACCTAAACATATTCAATTAAAATGGTATCCTGATCAGTCACTAATAACAACAAAACAGAAAAGTTGAACAATTTCAGATTATGAACTGTCATGAAGGCAATGAATTCTCAGTCCATGTAAATAATATGCAGGAGCCAGTCTACGTTACTTGGGTCCTTATAATCATTCCCTCCCTAGAATGATGCAACAATCTCAAGAGCCTAACAAAAAGATAAATCAATGGAATAGTATAAAATTGATATACACGAATACTGTTAATACTGTACAATGTATTAAAATTGCATTTGTGAATGTATCCCGTATTGCAGGCCTTCAAGTTGGCCGAGGGTCACGTAGATGTCTCTTCCAGTTCATCAGCGTACTGTACTTTCTGGTTTGATTTTATTTTTGTAATGTTTGTCTATTAATCTATATATTGGTCCCTCAGTTTATGCAAGGAATGCATTCTGGAAAAACTGAATGCAACACAAAACTGAATTTAAAGTTATTGTCTATGGGAAGAGATGGGATACTTTGTGACACTTATTGGGCCCTTTTTTCAGTTCTATCTCCAAAAACCTTTTGTATTAGACAACATGTAAGTACTCATGCCACAGTTTTGGCATTCTGTGTACGCTTTGTATAGCACAGTACAGTATCCATCAGTGTTGTAGAGCCTATTTTGTGTAGAGACAATATGGCGTACTTGCTGTCTACCTGATGTTGGTTCCAGGAATCAATGTCCCCGACCAGGCCTCCTAGTTTCTGGTCTGGTCAATCAGGCGGTTGAACACAGCTGATGCAGCTTGATGAATGAATCACAGCCTGGTTGATCAGGTATCCTTTGGAGGTGTTTATCAAGTGAACACTGTGAGAGGTCTACCAGTTATGTCCAATAAGTGTAGAGGGGGAGTGTTGAAAAGTCTTGAATCCTTGATGTTGATAGTTTCTCTCAGCATACTTATTGCACTTAAGCTTTTAAACTGGGCTATTTTGCACATCCTTCCATGTCTCCTGTTTTTTTGTAGAACTGTTGCTGCATGCAGATTTGGAACCAGTCCTAATATTTACCAATTATATAATATTAGTCCAATTATATTTACCTAATATTTGCTGCTATCTAGAGAATGCAGGTTTAAAATTGTTAAGGAGTCCCAATATTTAGATGCTTTATTGAGTATATTCAGGCAGTAAAAACTTTTGCACATTCTCCAGGTTTGCAATTTCTCCAGCTTTAATATGCAACAATATTGCCCCACTAGAGAACACTAGTATCTTAAAAAGTATCATTAATGGTATGGCATCTCATGCTTACAAGGTTTTTTCTAACCAGCCTGACAATTTTCTTACAGTTGTGACAGCTACTTTGCTGTGTTCTTTAAAAATAAGGTCTTCTGACATGATTATTCCTAAATATTATATATAGTGTATTGCTATTTCTTTTAATAGTGTTGTTTGACTGCACTTCATATTTGTTTTCGGTTTTGATATTTTCGTTTTATACCATAGTAGTAGTAGGTGGAACTTGCCTTCATTAAACATTATGCTATTTTCTGTGGTCCATTAAAAGACCTGGTTCCAGATTCATGAAAGCACTCACGCAAATACTTACGAATGTGTACATCGTTCCTCAATCTTTGACGGCTTTGGTTACATTTATTAAACAGTTTACAAGCATGAAAACTTCCCAATCAACTGTTGTTATTGTTATAAACAGCCTCCTGGTGCTTCGGAGCTCATTAATTGTTTAATAATTGGAAACAAAGCCGCCAAAGATTGAGAAAAGATGTACAGGTTCGTAAGTGCTTGCGTAAGTGCTTTCGTGAATCTGGCCCCTGATTAACATCAGATTGAAGGTTTGTCATGTCCTCTATATTGTCTACTCTCGTGAAAATTTAAGTGTCTTCTGCAAAGAATGATACGGTAATATAGTTTGTATCTTTGTCTATGTCTGATGTGAATGTGGGAAAAGTACTGGTGCAAGCACAGCACCCTGGGGGACTGAGCTTTTCATGGTGGATGATCTGGATTTTACTTTACTGACAATTACACTATGGGTTCTATTCATTAAGAAATTAAGGATTCATCTCCCTACATTACCAGTACAGTATTTCCTTTTGTGTGCATTTTATGTGCAATAACACCATGGACACATTTGTCAAGAGCTTTTATGAATTTCCTGTATATTACATCAGTATTTTGCTTTTCGTTTGTGTCATCTAAGACATTGTCATAGTGGTCTAGCAATTATGGGAGGCAGGAGCACCCTCTTTATGAACCCATGTTGTCCTGGGTTATGAATTCCATTCGTTTTGATTACTGAGTTCATATGTTTTGTGTATTCCATTTGAATACCAATTCCATTTGTTTTGTGATCGAAGATTTTGATGTGTGATGTGATGTGTGATGAATTATTGGTGGATAATTTTTTGCATCTGCTTTACTACCTCCACTGTTTTAAGTATGTCAGGGATAGCACCAGTATCTAGGTTCCATCTCCAAAAAATGTTTAGGACTTGTAATTGTGGTTTTTACAGTTGTTGATAAATATTGAATTCCAGGAATCCAGGCCTGGTGCAGAGTGCATGGGGCATGGTATCTGTGGTTACTCTGAAGTGCAGTAGGGTTAGGGTGACATCTGATATATGGTTTGATATTGATGGCACATTCATGAAGAATTAATTTGGATCATTGATCTTCAATGTGTTCAGGGGTTCACTGAAAGCAGAATTGTTCTGTAGCTTCAGTATTTCACTCATTTCTTTGTCATCTGTAAAAGTTCTATCACTCTTGTGTGCTAGATGTAGTTTTGTTCTAGATTTTGCATAGGAGAAAAAGTATTTTGAATTCATCTCTTATTTCATTGATGGCATTTTGCACTTTTTTCTGGATTTTATAAGATTCTTGCAACTTAGCGCAATTGTTTCCGTTTCGGTACATGACCAGACTTGTCATTTTTAGGACTGGGTGAAGTGTTCGGGTGGTTCTGTGATTTGTTTTTTTTTGCCTGTAGAGGGAATACCATTCTAGTTCCAGTTTGCACCTTTTTCTCTTTCTTAGTGGCATGTGCCTTGGAGAACCCAGCACCAACACGCTACAGGAAATCATTAACAGATTGCCAAAGCACCACTTCGTAGGGCTTGGTACGATGTTTCCTCATGATTTGTTGTATGCAAACAATGGTAACCTTCCCCCTCCTCTTAACAAACTGCTTTCATTTAATTTCTCTTCCATTTCCTCGTATTTCTTCCCATCTTGCGGGCCTTTCTCTTCTTGTACATTAAATTGACTAAAATACTCACTTCACTACTCTTCAACATAACAAAACCATCTTGGTACACTCCTCAATCTTGCAATTTTCTGAGGTTCCCCTCCTCATCACTGCATGATTTTTTCTTTACCCTTCTTGGTTTCCCCAACACCGCACTTGTCTCTAACATTGTTAACTCTGGGATTTGTCATGGTCACTCCATAGGTACATCTCGCATCCTTAAGAATACTACAGCTCCTTCATGCAACTAACTCCCTGGCCACATGTCATCTTATTCTTTCACTGCAAGGCTTTCATTGCTAGAGCTACCTACCTCTCCTGACTCCTGACTTACTAGTACTGTAGTGCATATTACAGTTTTCTTAGTTATCCAGGTAAGGTAAGCTCCTTAAAACAATTTTTCCCCGCATACAGTACTTCAAATGACTTGTCCAAATAGGCAGAGTCCAAATAATGTTCATTTAACAATACTGTAATTGTAAACTTACAATACTGTACCTTAGATATGTATCTGAAATTGCGAGGATATAAAGTATCATAAATTCTTCCCTTAACATCTGTCGTTATTTTCATCCCCAAGATAATAAAGCATTTGAGAAGCAGAAAGGTGTGGCAGACCCAGTTTTGTTACACACCACTTGACTAGAGCATCATCACTTCTGTGGTGGTGCATTTGTACATTGTCTCCGACTTAATCTTTGCAAGACGAAATGTTGTGTTCCAGTTTGATTGAGATATATTACAATCATCATTTATTAAGGCAGTATTCATGTGCAGCTGTATATAAGCATTTGTTTAAGACAAATGCTTAGATACAGCAATATAGTATATAAGCATTATAGTAAGATACAGTATTCTGTATACAGTATAAGCATTCAGTTTTAAGATCTATCCAATCCGAGAGCTCAAACTTGTTATTTGTTTATAACTTTAATTAAAATTCTACTTTAATTTTCAGTATGCTGATCCAGTAGCAAATCTTCTCGACAAATGGGGAGTGTTCCGGGCACGGCTATTCCGGGAATCTTGCGTCTTCCATCGAGGCAATTATGTCAAGGATTTAAGTCGCTTAGGCCGTGATCTTCATAAAGTCGTAATAATGGATAATTCACCCGCATCATACATCTTCCATCCTGACAACGCTGTGAGTAACAACCTTTGAATACAAAAGCAGTAGTTGCATATTCTGTAGTTGCAGTTAAAATGAAAATACTGGTTAATAGGATATTACATTTTGAAATAGTGGCAAGGTAACCAAATTTTGAACAAATACAAATGCTACTTTTTGTGTGTGTGTGGCCTGGTAGATACGTGGCAGGATATTCAAGTGATAAACTAGACCAAAATTTATTTATTTGAAACCAGATGCATTTATTGAGAAAAGGAGGACACTATTCTTCATTCTTGGGTCTGGAGAAAGAGTATGAATGCGGGAGGTTGTAAGTCTCTGCTACATGATGACTTGTTTAGTTTAAAATATTTAGTACTGTAACCAGTGGTTGTATGAGAGCTGATGGTACAGAGGGTTTGGCTCAAAATAGAAATGAGGGTGTACTAAGGATATATAACATAATTTTTTACTATTAGCTTTAATTTTGTACATAATTTTGTACTAAGGATATATAACATAATTCTTTACTATTAGCTTCCCCAGTGTTAATTTCAGGTACTTAGGTATGGTGGAAACTAGGAACTTAAACGAAACACAGGGTACAGGACACAATCAGACCTACTCATAGAAGGAAAGCAACATGTATAAGATCTGGGAGTTATGATGTCTTGACATGATGGAAGTTAGTGAACATAACCAAGCAAATATAGCGGGAGCCAGGAAAATGATAGGATGGATTATGAGAACGTTCAAATCCAGAGATCCCATGGCAGTACAGTACTAATGCTATTTAAATCACTCATGTCGTCCTGTCTTGAGTACTGCTTAGCACCTGCTTCCCCTTTTAGAGCAGAAGAGAGCTCTGAAGTAGAGGGAATACAGAGAACCTTTATGGCATGCATAGAAACAATAAAAACATCTAAATTATTGACTCTGTCTTAAAGCTCTCAAAATGTACTCTCTGGAAAGGAGATAAGAAAGGTATCAAATAATATATACAAGGAAGGCCAGGTCCAAATTTGCACAGTAGAATAACAACATACTGAAGCAAAAGATACACAAGGAAATGCAGAATAGAACCAATGAGAAATAGAGATGTCATAGGTACAATCAGAGGACACCGTCTGAACATCAGGGGCCTGCGGCTGTTCAATACCATTCCAGCAAAAAATAGAAATATTGCCAAAACAAATTGGATGTCTTCAAGAGGCCCTTAGACAATTTCTTGCAAGACGTCCAAGCAACAGCCTGTTGGACCAGGTTACCCCAATTCGAGCCTGGGGCCTCAGGCCAGGCTCGGGGAGTAGCACTCCCAAAACCCTCTCCAGGTATGCTCCATGTATGCCCACAGGTGGACAGGGTTATAAGATGAGAGTAAGGTATAGTATAGTACTTGTCGAGTACAAATGAAGTAAACAAGTGCAGCTGTATGCAGTACTGGGGGTGCAATTGTTGATGTTTTGCTGGGGTAAGGGGTTGTCAGAATTAGAAGCTCTGTAACAATTGATATAAATTACAGTAATGGACGGACAGCAGCGTAAACCATACTTAAGTTGTTTTGGCATAGATAGAATAACATTTGGCTTACAATTTGAATGGTGGTATATATATTGGTAAAGTAATGTGTAGTCTGCCATTAGAGTGCCGAGATAGATGTTGTCACAACATGTGCGGTGGGGCTGTGCTTACACTACCTAATGCTGCACAGTGTGTGCTCCAGAAGATACAATACTGTAGTGTAATGGTCTCTCTTTTTTTTTCAAATATCTTATCTCCTTTTGTCATTATTCTGAGTATTTCTGGATTGATGCCTTCTCACATTATGAAAGGGGAAAATAGTAATGATAATATTCAGGATAAATAAACTATATTAGAGGAGAATTTAAATTTTTAGTAATTACATGCATATGATAAAAAATCTGGTTACATCAGTTAAACAAAATAGGGTAGGATGGTTAGACTCTTTTTCTTATTATTTTTATGATTAATTTGTTCAAGTATAGTTCTGAATACAGTTTGGTATGCATTTTGGTTGAAATTCATAGCATTGGTATTTACAATGAAATCTAATGTGGCAAATATTACAATCACCCCTTTCCTTGCAAGGAGCTTTGAAGGAGTGAAATTTCAACATTTCATTATTTTACATATGCAGTACAGTATGTTATCTTGTGTCAAATTGGCAGTCTTTCTCTTGGAACTGTATCTAACTAGCTTTGTATCCTTGGTAAAGGAATCTTTAAGGTCACATTTATAGTGTTGTACCCCCTTGTGATGCTACCCAGACGTCCAAGTAGGGGGGTTTAACCCACCCTTATACAGCTACAGTCACTATCTGCAATTTCTACCTGTGCTCAAATGCCATATACAAGTGATCCTTATGGTCTTCATTACTTTCTCCCCTGTACACCTGGATTTAGTACTTTAAATTAGCTTGGAGATTTAAGGGTAAAATACACCCAAATGCTAGCCAAAAATTAGAATTTACTTGCTGAGATTTAGGCATTTTCCCAGGGAAATCACCTGGTCCTGAATGCCTGGGGGGGAATTTCAGATCAACCGAATGGACATACACATTTTCACACTCATGTACGTATGTGTGTTTAATTACTAAGTTATGTTTTTAGGGTCAAGCGTTGGCTCTTAGACACGTCTTTTCTGTGCATGTGTGTGTGTGTATTCACCCGATTGTGCTTGCGAGGGTTGAGCTTCAACTCTTTGGTTCCGCCTCTCAACTGTCAGTCAACTGGTATACAGGTTCCGGAGCCTATTAGTCTCTTATCATATCTACATTTGAAATTGTGTATGGAGTCAACCTCCACCACATCACTGCCTAATGCATTCCATTTATTGACTACGCTGACACTGAAAACGTTGCGTGTGTGTATGTGTGTGTGTTGAGTGGTTACGTATCAGTTTTTATCTAATTATGGTTACCTAGCTGTGTCTGTGGGGGAAGCAAGATCTAGCCCCCTCCCCCAACTATTGTATCTGGTATGTTTATATCTCCTGCCCTTACAGTATTCTGTCATAATTGATCTTAAAGTTGTAAATGGAGGTAGCTTCCATGACCTCCGCATCCAGCTGCTGCCACTTCTTTACCATCATCACTGCACACAAATATTTTTGCACATTTCTCTGGTTCCTCTTTTCCAACTTCCACCTGTACCCCCATCATCTGGTAAAAACCATCTCTATGCTTTATTCCCATCCTGCATTCTGCATGACCTGAAGCACCTAGAGAGGACAAACTTTGTAATGGAGGGGCATCATGGTTTTAGTTATCTTGAGATGATTTCGGGGCTTTTTAGTGTCCCCACGGCCCGGTCCTCGACCAGGCCTCCACCCCCACGAAGCAGCCCGTGACAGCTGACTAACACCCAGGTACCTATTTTGCTGCTAGGTAACAGGGGCATAGGGTGAAAGAAACTCTGCCCATTGTTTCTCGCCGGTGCCTGGGATCGAACCCAGGACCACAGGATCACAAGTCCAGCGTGCTGTCCGCTCGGCCAACCGGCTCCCTCAAAGTAGGGAGTTCCCTCCCTCAGTAGGGAAAAATCGTGCATAACAAACTTATTAGTTGTAATAGTTCTCTGGCAGGGTCACTAAGATATGATAGGATAAAGAAGGTTGGGTTTGCACTTTTCCTAGTCTGTTAAAAAAATACCTTTGATTGTGTTCCTCACATAGGGCTTGTGTATGAGATAGACATAAGGGGGTATGAGATATACATAAGGGGCATAACTGGCCAACCCATCACAGTGTTTAAGAGAGTACTTGACAAGCACCTCCAAAGGATACCTGATCAACCAGGCTGTGACTCATACGTCAGGCTGCGAGCAGCCGCATCCAACAGCCTGGTCGACCAGTCCAACAACCAGGAGGCCTGGTCGATGACCGGGCCGCGGGAACGCTAAGCCCCGAAAACACCTCAAGGTAACCTCAAGATAAGGTAGGGAAGCTGTGGTAATTTGAAGGACAGTGAACTGGATAAGGATATCATCTGCAGCATACATGTGAAACTTACCTCTGTTGTAAACCATCATCTGCAGCATACATGTGAAACTTACCTCTGTTGTAAACCATCATCTGCAGCATACATGTGAAACTTACCTCTGTTGTAAACCTGATTGGGAGTAAGCCAGGCTGAGCAAAATTTCACTTAATAACTTGCATGTATACCTACATTTTGCAATTACAGTATTGTAGTTGCAATTTGAGAATAGTCACAATCGGTACATACCCGAGGCATATGTGGGGGACCTGTAGCAGAATGGTCTACATCATCGGCTTTACAATCTAAGAACCCAAGATTAATTCTCTGGAAGGACAGAAATGAATGAGCATGTTTTCTTTCATCTGATGCTTCTCTTCATATAGCATTCAAATAGGTACCAGGTAGTTAAGCATTTGTAGTGGGTGGCATTCTAGGGAAGATTAGTCATTGACCTAGTAGTATCTGGATAAGCCTAAGTACTGTACAGGCTTCCTTCCTGTACTGTACACTGTACTGTACAGTGCGTATACAGCTCTAGACATAACATGTATAATGTCAGCTGTTTGAGTGGTGTCATGGATAACATTGTGAGTGCGGCCTCAAGATCAGTTGTGGGTCATTTGTTGTGAAAGTAATAAGGGAAGGATGAAAATGAATGGGGAGGATGAACTTCTCCTGATGAATAAGCCTGTTAGCTTCTGTAAATGATCACAGAATCTTTTAATTATTTTTTATTTATTTATATCTACAAGAGCTACTACATTCCTGTACAGCCACTAGCGCGCATAGCGTTTCGAGCAAGTCCTTAATCCTAACTTTCACACACATCCCCAACAAGCAGCCTGTAGCAGCTGTCTAACTCCCAGGTACTTATTTACTAAAGATGAACAGGCGCATCAGGGTGAAAGAAACTGCCCATTTGTTTTCTCCTCTGCCAGGGATTGAAACTGGACCCTTAGGACGACGAACCCCGAGGGCCGTCCACTCGCCTGTCAGGTCCCCCCCCCCCCCTCCCCCTAGAATCCATCCTGTATGGCTGAATACAGGGTGATGAATAGTATTATGAATAATATTAATAAGAGAGCTATTACTAAGAGGAAATTCATCTAAACAAAATTAAACTTGTATTGGGTTTGATTTTTATTTGAAGCTTTTTAAAGCTATTCTAGTTCTTATTGGATTTATTTGGTATATCTTATAAATACAGTATTTTAAGGTAATTAGTTGATTTCTCATAATTGTTATTTGTTCTACTCATACAGGTTCCTGTATCATCTTGGTTTGATGACATGAGTGACTCGGAACTCATGGACCTCGTTCCCTTTCTGGAAACGTTGAGTAAGGTGGACAATGTGTACAGTGTTCTTCGGAACTGCAACAATCCACTAAATTCACAGACTCCTCCTCAGCAGCAACAAGGAAGCCAAGTTCTTCCACAAATAACCCAGGGACCTATGACGCAAGTCCAGCCATCACCTCCACCACTCATTTCACAGCAGCAGCCTCAAGAACAACAGCAGCAGTCGTACCAGAAGGATTATGAGGAGACCAAGGATGGTCCATCATGAGGGAGGAGAATGACCACTAGGCAGGGTATGGTGAAGGAAACCCACACACTAGTAAAGTGAGTTCTCTCTACACTCCTGCCGGCCCCCTACCCACCCGACTCCCTCAGCCACCGCTGCAACCACGGCCCACTTATTCGTTTCCTCTGCCCTCCACACCTGGCCTCCTCCAGCTGGCCAGGGTACTTGGGGCTCGGGCACTCCACAGCACACTGGTTGCCGGGACTGAATCCAACTGACTGCTGCTACTATATTGCAGTCACCATCCCAAGTTATTGGGTGGACTGATAGGCAGTAAGAAGAGCCTGGTAGGTCTGGAACCAGTCGGGGATGCAAGCGGAACTATGAGGACTGGAGTCCCTAGTAGGGTGACTGTGTCACTGTTATGGGTTCAATTAGCGAATAGGTGACAGCCAGTGGTACAGACAATCTCTGTCCTACATCTGAGCACACCTATCCTCACCAGCCCTCGTATTGTATTGGATGTGAGTATTTGATGCTGCCAGTATGTGAGTGAAGATTTTTTTTTGTGTTAACGATGCTGTGCAATGTGCTCAGCAGGAGTTTATCAGACAAGTGCCAAGATGAGACTCCCACTCAGTGTCATCATATCATGGAATGCTGTATATTATAGCAATCATACTTTAAACTGTATGATGTTATGCAGCTGCTAATTTTAACGATTTTTACCTAAGACTTAGAGGCATAGTTTGTGTGCTTTACTATTTTCTGAACAAAAAGATTTTGTGTGCCAATGCCGAGTTCTCCCATGTTTTTATTTCCAGTCACCATTATCGACGGTGGACATTCTGCTGTCGTTGTTTTGATATTCATCCTAGCTTTCTAGGATTCCCCAGTAATGCCTAACCTCCATCCTTGCTTAGTTTGTCTGTTATTGTGTTAGAGTAGCTGTCACACCGTTGATGCTGGGTTACGTAGGGTGATTGGGGCTACTAATTGTTTTGAAGCGGGAATGGGCGGGTAGCCTAATGGTTGGTTGGCTGGCTAATGCAAATGCACCACCATAAAATAGGCAGTATCACTGCAAATCCTAAATAAAAGGTGTTTAAGGCAGCAGGTCACGTGCACGTCAGCTTCCAAAACAGACGTCCAATAGCTAACATGGCCTTTTTCCTCAAGTGAGTGTCTCCTCCCGTTGTCCATAATCTTGTTATATAGGTATAGCCAAGAAATATATATACAGTATATATATATATTAATCTTATATCTTTTATTTTATTTTTATTAATTTTATTATATATATAAAAATGAGAACTATCATGGTGGGCTATTAAATTTTCCATAACTAATGGAGATGTTCAAAAACTTTTACTTATCTAATAAAGTTATAGCCCTGTTGCACATTATCTCTACAGACTGTAGTGTAGATGGTAGTGTTGCTAGATTTTGTAAGTGGGAGAGATGCATTGGTGCTGTAAATGTAACTGTTCTCTGTGATAATGGGCAAAACCTGGAACAAAGTTGAATGGGAGGAGAGAACACGGCTGAAGATTTGGATCATTCTGGGACCCCCTGGGCCTAGGGGATGGAAGGAGACTCCATGAGCATTCTGCATACAAAACATAATGTTGGTCTGTAATATGGGGAATTAATCTCAATGCCCAGTCATGATGTTTTATATGAAAGAAGGATCTTTATAAAAAAGTTTTTAAATTCAGTAATAATGTGAATGTTGCGGGTCATAACCTTTCATTCCCTCCACCAATAGTTGCGTGACTGGTTTTGCTGTCCCGGTGAACAACAGCCTTAGGAGAGTGCAAGGCAATGCTGCCTGTAACTTTTTCTAACCCTGGCTGATGTGTCTCGTCTGCAACTTTCGTAAAGCCCATGTGGGATGGACCACTGGTATATTTTCCAGCTAAGTCGATTAAAATGAGTTTGATCGCAACTGTGAATGAGGGCAAATGACAAAGTCCGAAAAAACTCAACTCTGTTCCTCCAATCTCGCTTCTTTCATGACCCATCACGACAAGCGTCGTGATCTGCTGACCTTGTGTAACTGTCCTGCCTGCCCGAACCCAGATATTACAAGATAACATTCTCTCCAAACCAACAGCCCTAAACCCATGGTCAACACCTACCCCTAACACTGCTTAAATTTTTGTTTAATTATTAATTATATTAAATTTCCTGTTAACCATTAGACAGTTCAGAATTTTTATGACAATTTTGCCTCTATTCTTTGAGCAATGATCGTCGAGTTTGTATTTTATGTAAATCAATGATATTTAGTGTTTGTTAAGTTTTGAGTGCACTTACAAAATTTAGTGGTGATCATACATTTCTCCTTAAATCTTGACTTGATTTATGTAAATGATTGGTAAATGTGTAAAATGATTAAAAGATTTCTAGTCCTGATGAATATGTTTGTCAGGTGCCGCATGCGGTAGGTGTTCCCCCTTGTTGGTTTGGGCCGGTGGGAGGAGGGAGTGGTACGCATTGTTGTTGAACGACGCTCTTGTGTACATAGACTCCAGTACAGTACTCAGTTGCAGGCCTTAGTGTGTACAGTATCTGGCTGAGGTGTCTGCAGCATAACTTGTAGGAACTCTTTTTCTCAATATGTACAGTACAGTGGCCTTATTATTGTTAATGTTTAAACACTATGTTTTTTACTGAAATGGATTCTGTAGAGATTAGATTATATATGAATGATAATAATATCTTTAATAATATCTGTGCAAGATAGTGGAAGCGAATGCTTCTCCGAGTAGCTCCTTTTTATGGCAGGTGAAATTGCAGTATGTATTTTTTATTTGTTTGCTGTTGTAAAGGAGCCTTTAATATTAAATGTTACAAAGCATTTATTGAGGATTTAAGAGTTTGTATTTGAAGTTTGGTTGGACAATCAAAATGTTTAATGTTGATTGCAGAGTTTAAAGTGATAAAAAAAGATTTACTGCAAAATGAGACGGTGAAATTAATATTCGAGTTCTGGAACAGGGGCAACGGGGCAGTGATGCTTTGTGATGCTTCAAGTGTTGTGTTTTCTGGTATAGAAGAACAGTCCTTGAACTGTCACGCAGGTGTGAGGCACCCATCGTCACATTGGTGGATGTAGTCTGCAGAATGTAGGATTTTTTCCTAGAAGTGATATAGAATGTGTAAACTAATTTTATTACATTGTTCAGTAGCTTTTATGAAGTAATACTGTCCTCTTCAGCATCTGCATGTGCCACTACAATTAAAAAAAAGAATAATTTTTTATGTAGTGTGTGTAATCAGTGTAAATTAGGCATGAGTTTTAATGTGACAAGCCCCGAGGAAAATGCACTGGCAACATACTTATGATGTTAAAATGTTGTATATCTGTGAGTTACCCGAGTTGTTTGAGTGTGAGTGATTGCTACAATTTTATAATGAGAATTTGTTAATGTGGCAGTAGTGACAATGTCTTCCCAAGTCCATAATGTGTTTTAAATGCCCTTGTTTCACAACTCGATATTGTCAAGCTCAAGCCTCGACGCAGTCACCCGGGATCAAAATTAATCGCAGGGTGTTTCCCCTTGTTTCTTGCCTTATTGTAACAAATAACAGCAACATTGTCATGTAGAAAGTACTTTGGTCACAAGATGTTTTATACCGATAAATTCTACGACAGTTCACTGTACAAAGTGATTTTTAAAAATTTAATATTTCATCTTCAGACACAAGTTTACATGTAAAGCAAATAAACTTGTTTAATATTACTTATTTATCCATACAACCCAAACTAAGCATATGATGTGTGGTCTCTTGTGTTCCACAAGAAGCAGGAAACCCTTGTGAATGTATAGGCATTGGTGCAAGACTGATTGCTTGCAGTAAATTGTGCCATGCAAATTATATTAATGGGGCTGATTGAAACAGAAATTACTGCATCTTACTATTGATAGAAACGTTGAGAAAAGTAAATAGAAATTACTTACTATTGATAGAAATGTTGAGAAAAGTACTCCACAGGTGGCCCTCACTCTGCAAAAGGGTGTTTACCTGTATGGTGCCAAATGTGAACTTGAGTGCAAGATCTGTGCATGTGAAGCAATTTCATGTACTACATATAAATACCAGTAATACACTGACTTGTGTTTTATGGACATTTGGATTACAGTATGTTTTTGAATACCTGATACCTCTCAAGTTTTCTGTATTTCATTATATACTCTTTTGGGGCTTGAAAGTAGCAGAAGGGTTCAGTAATAATGTTCAGGTTCATGTTCATTTTATTGAAAGATGTGTTAAAACTGGACTTTAGGAGATCTCTGGAATGTAACCCTATGTTTTGATTTATCATGTTCATTTTGATATCCATGAATTGCCTCTGCATGAGGTTTTTTCAGAAAAATCCTTTGTGCAGATTAAGGACCACCTATACGTGACAGCCATTTCGGTAATTGTTTGCAGTTTTAAATTGAATACTCCTCGAGCCTAGATGACATTCAGTATATTTGTGCAAAGCATGATATACACTAGATGAAAAAATAACAATTATTATGTGTATCCACCACATGATAGTAGAATGATATAAATGCAGAGCTAAATGTCAACTTGTATTATTTTTGTGTGAATGCTGTGGAGTAAAGATCTAAGTAATGTTACAAGGCTATGACAAAACATTTTTAACTACTGACTAAAATAAAAATAACAGGATTAAATTATATGCTTTTAATATTATTGGATCTTTTAATACCACCAAATCTTGAGTGTAACCATTGCTAAAGTATACGGACTGGTATTATTTTCTTTAAATGTCAACAGGATTAGCTTTTTAACTCTAACTTCAAGATAGTACAGTTCTGTACTGCAGTATTTTGTTATAAAGAAGTGAAAGCTTATTAACATCAGCAGCTTTATACATTGTATGGCAAACACCAGCTGTATATTTACTTGCTTAGATATTAGTCATCACCGACCCTATTTGCTACAGCAGCCTACATGTGTTCCTGAAGCTGCACAATATCAACTAGGTACGTGTAGACGGTGCCGTATACAGAAACATTGTGGTTATGATCTTAAAGTGATCATAGGCGTGCGTCTCAATGGCTGAAGGATTCATTATTAAAAGTCCAGGGCTGCATACCACACCTCTGTGCCAGCATATAAGGCGCACATGAGCACAAGACATGACGCGCGCATATTTTGCAAAGGCTATTTTGTTTCCTTTAATCTTTCTATGGGGCATTTTGCATTTAAGCAATAAAAAATGGTTCTTAGCACCGTAATATCATGTATAAAGGACATATTTTTTATAATGCCATAAAATAATGTAAAATACACTCGCATTTATTGCATTCTATCCACTGGAAATATGGTAATTGCTTGTGGTGTAAGTAAGCGTCCAGTGTAAAGGACAAAGCTAAATAACTGGCAATTAAGTGTAAGTTAAAGAATTTTAATTGATTGTCCACTAAGCCCAGCTAAAAATTATGCATGAATTAACCATTTTATTTTACCAGTTACTGTATTAACATTATAATTTGTGGCAATTACAGGCAAGAGAGTAGCAACCTATCAACTTCTGGAGGGTTATTAAGGCCACCATATTAGTTTACTGATCAATCGGCACGTTTGCTTTAATCCCCGGCTTGGCACCTTCTTTTGATAATTAATTACTTGTTTTAATCTCTAACATAATTCAGGTTTAATAATAATAAAGAAGTGTATATGCACTTCAATTAAGATATGAGGTTCACCTCTTTGTGTATGCTGTATTTGAAGGAGATGAGGTATTTAAAGCTGTGTATGGAGTTTGTCTCCACTATTTCACTTCTTAGTGCATTCCATTTGTTTACTATCCTGATATTGAAAAAGTATTATCTCTTGTTCATGCTAAATAGTCTGTCCTTGTCTGTCCCTGTCTATTTCTGTGAATATTTTGTATATGCTAATCATGTCTCCCTTGTTTACTTCCCTGAAGTGAAGCCTAACCCCTTTAAGTCTTTCTTTGTAACTCATGACTGGTTTTGGTAGCATACATCTGAACTTTCTTCAGCTTTGTTTTGTGTTTTGAGAAGATAGGGATTCCGTACTTCTGCCATGTATTCCAGACTGGGTCTGTTACAAATTTTCTACATGTGCAACGACTCTTTGCTCAGATTCCTAAGACAGCTAAAGATGTTTTTCTGATTTGGGTTTGTGATGGTAGGTTCACTGTTATATCAACCCCAAGTCTTTTTTCTCTGTCCAATTCAGGTATGATTTCCTTTCCTTTTTCCATGTGATACTTTGTGTCTGGTCTCCTATTCCCCATACCCAGCTTCATTATTTCGCAATTTGGTTCACCGACATGTTTTCTTACACAGCTTCTCGCTGCTATTTCCACGAATTTAGCTATCCAAATGTTTGTACCCCCATCGGGTTTCCCGTTTTGCCAATTTATTTTGTTGTGCAGTTCTTCGCAGGATAGCAATAACTGAAAATGGGTCGATTGTCATTTTGTGGAGGATTTTATCTTAATGATACTAATATCTTAGGTCCTCTAATTGTTGTAGTTCATTTTATAATGTCACTGAATCTCTCAGAACCTGGGAGTGACGGCTCTTTTGAATGCTTACATCTTAATGCTAGGAGTGAGTGCCATGACAGGTTAACAGATTGGAAGCAGTTTGGTGATGAAATCAGTAGATTAAGGCAGATCATAGTCAATAATGAATACTCTTAACAAATATGTCGAATATGATATTAATTAAAAGAAAGGCTATCTCTGGTAGCCTTTGGTCTGGTCCTCTGGTCTTTACCTCTGGTCTTTACCTCTGGTCTGGTGGACATGTACACATGCCCCCACGAAGGATGTAACCTTCAATCTAAGTACATAGGTATGACATAGACCAAGCTGATGAGGCGTTTGACCTGTCATCTTCAATCCAGTGCCCCCCAGAAATCACATGAGACAAGCCCATGACATCACCCTAACGAGAAATGCTGAATAAAAGCACTTGTATAATAGACAAAACCCAAGATGTAAGAAGATTACACATTCTTGAAGCAATCCACATAAAAATAAAACAACCTACCATTTTATATATATATATATATATATATATATATATATATATATATATATATATATATATATATATATATATATAATATATATATATACACATATATATATATATATATACATATACATATATATATACATATACATATATATATATATACATATATATATATATATATATATATATATATACATATATATACATATATATATATATATATATATATATATATGTCGTACCTAGTAGCCAGAACGCACTTCTCAGCCTACTATGCAAGGCCTGATTTGCCTAATAAGCCAAGTTTTCTTGAATTAATATATTTTCTATAATTTTTTTATTATGAAATAATAAAGCTGCTCATTTCATTATGTATGAGGTCAATTTTTTTTTATTGGAGTTAAAATTAACGTAGATATATGACCGAACCTAACCAACCCTACCTAACCTAGCCTAACCTATCTTTATAGGTTAGGTTAGGTTAGGTATCCGAAAAAGTTAGGTTAGGTTAGGTTAGGTAGGTTAGGTAGTCGAAAACCAATTAATTCATGAAAACTTGGCTTATTAGGCAAATCGGGCCTTGCATAGTAGGCTGAGAAGTGCGTTCTGGCTACTAGGTACGACATATATATATATATATATATATATATATATATATATATATATATATATATATATATATATATATATATATATATATATATATATATATTTTATATATATATATTATATATATGTCGTACCTAGTAGCCAGAACGCACTTTTCAGCCTAATATGCAAGGCCCGATTTGCCTAATAAGCCAAGTTTTCATGAATTGTTTTTCGACTACCTAACCTACCTAACCTAACCTAAACTAACTTTTTCAGCTATCTAACCTAACCTAACCTATAAAGAGAGGTTAGGTTAGGTATGGTTGGTTAGGTTCGGTCATACAGTATATCTACGTTAATTTTAACTACAATAAAAGAAAATTGACCTCATACATAATGAAATGGGTAGCTTTAATATTTCATAAGAAAATAATTAGAGAAAATATATTAATTCAGGAAAACTTGGCTTATTAGGCAAATCGGGCCTTGCATAGTAGGCTGAGAAGTGCGTTCTGGCTACTAGGTACGACATATATATATATATATATATATATATATATATATATATATATATATATATATATATATATATATATATATATATATATATATATATATATATATATATATATATATATATATATAATATAACTGAAAACTCACACCCCAGAAGTGACTCGAACCCATACTCCCAGAAGCAACGCAACTGGTATGTACAAGACGCCTTAATCCACTTGACCATCACGACCGGACAAAATGAGGTGATAGCCGAGGCTATTTGAACCACCCCACCGCCGGCACTCGGATAGTAATCTTGGGCATAGCATTTTACCAAATCACCTCATTCTTTGAGGTGATTTGCATATTGCAAATATTGTCCTGGGGACCATTCAGGCTTATTCGCATTTGTGTTCCTCACGTGTGCCCCAAAGAATGAGGTGATTTGGTAAAATGCTATGCCCAAGATTACTATCCGAGTGCCGGCGGTGGGGTGGTTCAAATAGCCTCGGCTATCACCTCATTTTGTCCGGTCGTGATGGTCAAGTGGATTAAGGCGTCTTGTACATACCAGTTGCGTTGCTTCTGGGAGTATGGGTTCGAGTCACTTCTGGGGTGTGAGTTTTCAGTTGCATATTGTCCTGGGGACCATTCAGGCTTGTTCGCATATATATATATATATATATATATATATATATATATATATATATATATTTATATATATATATGTATATACATATAAATAAATAAAAAATAAATAAATTATACAGTGGGGCCTCGACTTACGATGGTAATCCGTCCTCAGAGACGGATCGTAAGTCGAAGCGATTTTTCCCATAAGAAATATGGGGAATTGAATTAATCCGTTCCCCACCCTCCAAAATATTAACTTACAAATACATTTTATACTGATATAATTTTTTTCTAACTACAATACAGCACATTTGTTTATCTTACCTTTATGGAGGACTATTGATGGCGTATGGAAGATGGTGATGAGGGGGAAGGAGGAGAGGTGTTACTGTTTGGAAGGGGAGTCCCCTTCCATTATAACATCAGGCAGTGATGTTTTCTCTGGGGTACTCTCTCTCCTACGTTTTGCCTGCATACCACTTGGACCTGGTTGTGGTACACTGCTTGTTTGTCTCACTAAAAATTTGTCAAGAGACACTTGTTTTTCCCTTCGTTTTAACATTTGTCTGTAGTGATGCATCACAGTGTCATTGAGTAGGTTAAGGCAACGGCCTACTGCAGCTTGATTTGGGTGAGTCGTTTCAGCAAAGGTTTGCAATTCTTCCCATGCTGCACACATTTTCTTAATTGTTGAGGAAGGGACATTCTGTACTGGCACATCCTCCTCTTGCTTAGTAAGCCAGCAAGCCAAGTGCTTGCTGGCTTACTAAGAAACACTTACAAGAAACTGAGGGAGACACGCTACACGAGGGGATTAGCTCATGACCTCAGGGAATACGATGTACTTGACTGCTGTAAACCCTCTCGACAGTGTAATAGGTCTGCTCCCTGGAAAGTACAGAAAATAGACGTCGAAGTTGTACCCCTCAAGCTGAAAAAGATTCATCATGA